ACTCTTAAATTAATTTTATTGTAATAATGGTAATGTGTTAAAAAAAAAATTAGTTATTAAATGAATCATTTATTCATTCATTTTTGTTACATTTAGATAGTTGGAAAAATTTATAATTATCGTAAAACGATTTAGGATAAGAGAGCGCGAGCGTGGCGTGGTAGACAGCGTACTGGTCTATCATACCAGAGGTTCCGGATTCGATCCCAGTAGGAACCAAAATATTTCCGCTCATGTCTCCTCTCGGAAAAGGCCGACAACCTCCCGAGAGTATCCTTGCCCAGAAACACCTCGAAAAATCCGCCGTTCGGAACCGGCATCAAAATTGTAGGTCCCATATGCTCGTGGTAATTAAATAATCAGCGTGCGCACCACAAGCATATGAGAGAGGTGTAACATACAGGCCAGAGGCCTAACGTAAGAAGAAGAGAAGAAGATTTAAGATAAGAATTATAAGACGATATTATTCATCATTATTCATCATAGTTTTAATATAAACTAAAAATGCTTCAAACATTGTATTTCCAGCTTAACTATACATGTGAAATTCCACAATCTATGATCACTGGCTGCGTTCAGCAGAGAAAGCAGCTGTGTAAAATTCTTTAATATGACTGATTTGCGTTTAGATTCTGTGAGGAACTAAGAGAAAGACAATCATGTTATAGAATTTTGCAACAGCGAAGTTGTTTTTTTTCTGCGGAATGGAATCAATCGACAATCACATATAAAATGGAATTGTGATTATACTGAGGAAATATATCTGAAAAATGCATCTAAAAATCAGTTCAGATGCTAATTTTTTATCTAGATACAAATATCAAATTTGAATGTACTTCAGATATAGGTTAGATACACAAAACGCATCTCTATACATGTATCTAGATACATGTATCTAGATACATGTATAAAGATATTACCCAACACTGATTATATGTATGTGTATACATATACATATATACATGTATATACATATACATACAGGCCGGGTTGTTTTATTTTAATCACCCCAGACGAATAATTCGAGAAGGAGACATGGGATTTAAAAAGTTTCAGACAAAAGTTATGTGATTTTGAGAAGAACACAAGATGGCACCATGGGTTTGGCCTTGGATAATGTTATCAAGGTCAAAGCAAGGTTATTTTGAATTTTTTAAATGGTACCCCCATTTTTCATTACATATTTTCGTAGCTTACATCGAGAGAGCTTTTAAAAATATTATAATAAAATTTTTTTTTTAAATACTTTTCGAGTTATGAGGTTTGAAAGTTACAATACCGTTGGCATTAGCATTACTCAAAATATTAAAATAAAAATAAAAGTTATAAATTATAAGAATAAATTTTTAATGCCAAAATGAAAATAAGAAGAACAATCTCCAATGGCTCCAATGAATTTAATCTTGACAAATGTTATCCAGATCATGATTCTGAACAACATTCAAGAGCTGGTTTTAGTCGTCGATCGGACATCTTGGATAATACTAATGCTGGCGGTACTGTAACTTTCGAGCCTTGTAACTCAAAAAATATTTAACGAAAAAATATTTTTTTACAATGTTTTGAAAAGCTCTCGAGGTATGCTTCGAGAATATGTAATAAAAAATGAGGGGTTCCAATTAAAAAATTCAAAATGACCTTACTCTGACCGTGACAACGTCACCTAAGGTCTATGGTATTCAAGGTCTTGTATCTCCCTTGAAATCACATAACTTTTGTCTAAAATTTTTTTAATCTTGCGTCTTCTCGAGTTATTTACCTAAGACAATTAAAATAAAACACTGTATATATAATGCATACTAAAACGCAATATTTTTAAAAAATTTAATGTAATATTTATAGGATAAACTCGGGTATGATGGCCATAGTTTTTTAAAATGCAAAAAACATACATTTATTCTTGTTAACTTTTTAACAATATTTGGGATATTACTTTCACTGAAGCTTAAAGTAACAAATACTATCGAAATTAAAGAGAAAATACTTAACAGAACTTTAATTTTATCAAAATATTACAAAGTATGCATTGGCCATCTTATCTGATTTTTAGGGAAAAGATGGCCATGATATTAAGAAAGATAGCTATAGTATTTATAAATAAATAGTGAAAATAAAAGTATTAATTATAGGTCACATTGCAATTTACGTACCTTTATTGTGCATGTAATGTTGATTATGACAGCTTAACTGTAATTTATTAGACATTATAACAGTTTTTAGCAGACATGTGTAAAACTTTGTAGATAGTCGAAAGAAAAAATATTAGATAGTATTTATAATATTGTTATTTTGAACAGTGTACTCATATGAACTACTGTAAATATTGATTATCTTTAAGAATGACTATAACAATGCACTATTTATCAATTATTGAAGAAATTATGGCTTATGGCTATCTTTTCCGTAATACCCTAGTTTACCCTATTGTATAAACTGTACGACGAATAAATGAAGTCATTCAAATGTGTGTATGTGGCTAAAGAAATTTCTAGATTTTGGATAAGTAATGTCACAATGGCCGAATGAAATATATAATTCTATTTCTTTTCTAAACAAAATACTGTATTGCAATATTAGGCCTGTTTTTTTTTAGTTAAACTTAAAACTCTTAAAAAAAAACACTTATTTTGCATAAACGGGTTCTTTGAACCAGCAATTTATGAATGTGCCACCACATTTGCTTTTCCATTTATAGTGGTAATTATATATCAATGCTTCTTATAATTGCAAAAGAAAATTAGGTTAATTAGCGCCAAATCCAGCCAAATCAATATTATTATAATCGATACTATTACAACATTACGACGTCATAATATTACGATAATAAAACGTCAAAATATAGTTTTATCCCGCATAGCCATTCACGCTGCCGCGCATGCATGCAATATGCAATTACATGCAACGAAGTGCTGTGTCGTCACAGACATCTCTCATTTACATAAGACGATCGAATCGGGATGAATGGAGTCGTTTACATGCGTATGACTCTATATGTATATGTGTGTAGGCACGTCTGCACAGTGCACGCATTCATCTCTCAAAACAATAGTCCGCGAGTTCGTCCCTTTGCTCCACGTCACAGCCCGTATTCCTTTTCCCTCCTTCGACTGAGGCAGACATCTCTGAAAGGAACGACGCACAAATGCATCGTCTAATTGTGTGGAAAATGCAGTGTAGCCGCTACGATTCGCGAATGCTCGGGGCGCGTTATACGTACCTAGTAATTTTAACAAGCTACCACAGACTCTCCGCCGTAATTCCACGCGCAACGCAAGCAGCACGTTTATACCGCGGTCGCTAGTCATATACACAACTGAAACAAATGCAGAATATGCGTTACCGGTATGCGAACGAACGTGCTGGTTATTTTCAAATCGCCCTGGATTAGATAAGACGACGACGTTAATTAAAATAAGGGAGTCGGTAACAAGCTCTACTAGTCTCTGTAGATGCAACTGTCTACGAATACTTGACCGTTTTTGCATTCTATTGCGGGATCTATCTCTTAGAAAGATAATATGACGAACGAGTATTCTGAAAGATGATGACGCATAATAATTATCCACTAATTCACTCGGTTTTACTTTATTATATTCTTGATTCGTTTAAATATTTTAATAAATATGTGAATTTTAATTTCTTATAACATTTGTCGCGATCATGTTAAAATAAATGACGTACAGGACGGCTCATCTGTCTCGATGGCGATCTCACAGAAATATTACGCGCGTTATATGTCACAATAACAAATACATTTCGTAATGATAACAATTCAAATTATTATGAGACTTTGATATCTATTATTACGGCGTAGGTATAGTATTCTATTTTTTACAAAAAAATCGCTATGTACCATTCGTCTACCAAAACTCGACCCAACATATAGATAGCGGCATTATCTATAATTAGAACGCGATCATGACAAGTACTAAAAGGTGATTATTAAATATTTCGAAGTGATAATAATTCTGCTAACGCGCGACCTGTGGTGTTTGTTTGTGTCTTGACTTGATAGATATAACACATTTCTGAATGTCATTACATTTAAGTCCAACTAGTAAGAACAAATAATCACGATTAAACATTTGCATATGTGGAGACAAACTTTTTCTTTAAGATGTTAGTAAAAAATGAAAGATATTTATTAATATAAATTTCGATTATTTCAATTTACGGCGTTATCTATGCTCATCAAATGCTCATCAAAGTGTGTTCGTTGACGTTTCTTGCTTAAGCTAAATCCTGCTTGTCGAAATGCAATCGCAATAAGCGCTAAGAGGAACCAAAATCCACATACCTATATATAATCAAAATATCGAAAATATCAGAATTTAGACTACGTCTTAAAATAAATTTTATTTGAGTCTCTTAATTAAACTTCGATAAATATAACACAAATATCTAACTAACACTCTCAAAATCTATTTATAAAACCGTATCATGTCTGATTTCAACTGAGTTTTCCAGAAAAAATGTATCAATCACTTACGTGAGAATTTAAGTTTTATTCACAAATACAATATAATTTTATTTTATAAAATATTAAATATGTCGAAGCAATAAATTATATCGAGGGGGTAACCACTAGCTGAAATATTGTCCCACAGATTACATGATATCATATGATTTCATCTGATTACAAATAATTTTTTTCGCTACATATGAAGTCGTTTGGTAAAATACGAATTTATTTAATATTATACAATGATTTATCGTGATTGCATACGCAATTATCGGATTATACATAGAAATTTCATATGAATTTTATAATGATTTCGAGGACTCTGTCCCACGATTACATTAAGTGGTTACCCCCTCGAATTATATGTATATGTATAGACTTGTAATCTTGATATTTTTTACAACAATAATGTTTAATAAATGCAAACCTAAAACCATGAAATTCTCTTTGTCAATTATATCAAAATTCTAAAATGAAATTTCATATAGATCTTTTCGACTAAATGTTGTGTACTCATCAAAATGCAATATCTTTACAGATTTCCACGTTAATCTCGCATAGAGAACGACCGCTATGCTCGGACCGGAGTTTGCGAGCGGTTGCCAGGGTCGGCCAGGCGGTAAATTTGGCGGTCGAGAGATTCGTGACCGTCGGCGAAACTATCGCGGACGACAACCCGGAGATCAAACAAGACATGTACGAGGCGTGCAAAGAGGCGAGGGTTGCAGGTAAATGTAACAACACTTGTGACGATACGCACAAAATTGATAGTAATGTAAATAGATGTACGAGTAAAATAAAATAACTAGGATATCTTTATATATATAATTTAGCTTCTGATAAAATTAAAACTCAATGATCTATCTGTAAATCGTTAGAGTTCCTTCGATAATCTAAATTAACAAGACTGTCGTTTTTATGTATTCAATTATTACTAAATAACAAAAATTTTGAATACACCGTATAATATTTAAATTACAAGTTGTATTATTATTGAAATTATTTATATAGATTTTATGTATGCGTGTCGAAAGATTTTCACGTAGAAAAAATATGTTGCAATAATGTCAATACTTCTCACATTTCATTCGAAATAAAGAAAAGTATCACTGTGAGTTTCATAGAACGAACGAATGAATTTCATAGAACGGATGAAAATTACATGGTATAACATAAGCGCAAATTCAATACAAATGTCCTCACGAATATTACGATAGTACATTAATCAAAAGTTAGGACAATATAAACATATCCAATTGCACATTACAGAGTAAATTCGCATTAAAACTTGGCGTATTTTACCAACAACATGCATCTGTTGGAGATTATGTGAGTAACTTTAGAATGGTTATTATCTAGCAGAAGAACAATACAATGCAGAGATTTACATTAATTTGCAAAATTCTTCATTGTCCAATATTGTTACTCTCAAGAAATTTAGAGAGTAAGAAAAGAAAGTTCATATTTTGCGAGCAATATATTTTACAATCATGATAGTATTCAAAGAAGTATGCAAAAGATAACGCTTATTAAAATTTAAATGTTAATCTTGTTTAAATCCAATATATATAAAATTTTTTATGTTATTCTCTTTTAAATTTAATACACACACATAGCTGATACGAATAAAAGTAGTGTAAAGAGAGCAAACAATATTGTTGCGAAATTTCTATCTTGATAATCAATTTTATAACGATGACATAATTTGAAGTACTTTAATACTTTTATTCAGTTTATATTTTATTGAAAACTTTGTATTCTCCTTTGAGATTATCTTCTTCTCAAGAAGAAATTGTATTATAAGTACTTATACCAGTTTCTTCTTCACAAATAACCGAACAAATAACATTATCTCAAGCAGTAGATATTTCACCATCCTAATATTTAAAATAATTATGTTACTCGAGATAAATTCGCAATCGGAAGCCGTTCATAAATATGAAATTCGTATTGTACGTTATTTAGGACATAAGAAGCAATAAAGTAAAATATACAACTCTTTCTCGTTTTTTAATTCAGCATTATTTCTGAGTTGTAAAGTTCAAAATCTTCAACTATTCGTCAAATAGATCACAAAATTTGATTCGCGCAAAGATTTAAGAAGAAGCACCGCGAATTATACTCCAACGCGATTTTACGATTCGCGTTACGCACGGAACGATTAATATTCTTTTTAGCATATAAGTTAATATCTTATAGTCTCTTCGGCTTTTAAGAAGAGAAAAGGGACAAAGAAAGATAGAATGCATATGCATAAATGAATATTATATATAGGTTAAAATATTTCACAAAACTATCCAACATTTTCATTCGTGTAAGAGCAGATTTCTCTCTACACTTCTATAACGCATAAGGAAACATCTTTAGATTCGAACGGCAACATCAAACATCGAAAAGATACAAATTGCACCTCATACGCAACCTTGCGCGAACAACCTCTAAGAGCACGCAAACCGGAAAAGGGCTCCATACACGCAAGGATAAGGCTCGTAACCTTTGAACGTCACTCTCTGAAGTCTTATCGTCGGCAGATTATATCTTTTCGTATCTTCACGCTAAGCTGCACATTGCAGAACGACTGCTGCTACCATGTGGAAACAGCGCGCGCGATGACCCAGTTTCACCAAACCTTGAAAGGTTTTTCGTCACCTACATACAAGAAGAATCTCGACGTATCTTTGCCAAATAGCGGAGAAGTAATGGTCGAAGTAAGAGATATTTCTTTCTAGCACACCTGTTCGCTCTTCGGGGAGAATTGTGCCACAGAGAAAAGAGACGGTCTCGGTGGTCTTTCAACGTGAAAAGTCTCACACCACAAAATTAAAGATCTTGAAGAAAGCTTTCGTAGCGAGATACCTATTCAACATAGGTTTGAATTAAAAAATACTCTATAATTCGAGAATAAAAGAAAAATAATATAACATAAAGGGTATATATATATATATATATAAATATATATATATACTAGAAATGAAATATACTACACATATACCAGAATAAATTTAAAAAATTGTATCAATCTTTGTAAGATTGTAGCATCACTTATATATTTAAGAAATACTATTATTATATCAGTTATTCTTTTCGCTGTCATCGATCTTGCGCTTAAGGAAAAACGGCGATAAATAATAAACCGACGAGCTTTCGTCACAACACTGAGGTCAAAACAGGATTATGTACAATCAGAAACGGCGCGCTTCACTAATTTAGAATATCGATGAAAATTTTAGATAATAGATAAGATAATAAAATTCGATTACTAGATACGTAGAATTGCTTATCGGAGCACGAGACGTATCAATTTGAAGTAATGAAATAACGTCGAAAGAGCACCGATATTACAACAATCGTGCAGAGACATGCAAGCTTACTACCTGCTGGCTTGAATAAATCGTTTCGCGTGGTATCGCGTGTAAATCGGTAAGTGTAACTAACCGTGGAATTGCGAACGCTATATCGTGCTTGTGGGATTCACTATGACACAACACGCGACGAATTTGTATAAACCGTCGGCATCGGTGGTTTCTGCATACAGATCACTCTTCGTACATATACGTTTGAGGTTGTACTACTATTATCACGAAAACCATCATTTCTCAAAATAGAAAACCAAAAATCTTTGTGAAATACCGAGTAGAATTCGAAATAGAATTTCAAATAGCAATTATACGTGATAGGTCGCACACGTTTTCGACGTGCGAATCAAAATCGAATGGTAGATTCGCAACATTGTACGGAATGCTTAAACACTTGGTTATTCTCCCTTTCTCAAGATAACGCTATTTTCGAAGCTCGGTGGAATTTAAACTTGCGCACCAGAGCAGCGGTGACAGAGAACAAGCGCATTACTATAACGAAAAGCGACTACCGTAAAAGATAAATGGTAATGCTAAATTTATATATAACTGGGGAGAAACAGCATACGGTAAGCACAAAGCAACGCTGAGGAATAGTCGCACTTAATCGTATCTAATCACAAACACAAACAGCCTACAGTCACTGCCAACTGTAGTGAGTGCACTCGAGCAAGTTGATGAATGCGTAGACATTTGGTCCGACATCCATTTCAAATCGGGTGATAATTACTAAAAGATTATAAAGACCACATTTCATAGTATATTAATATGTAGCACGTAGTAATATTAAACGGAGAGTACGTAGAGTGCTTTTCATTTAGTTATTCATTAGCTCTTCTGTGACATATCGACACTCTATTGCAACGAAATAGTCATTGATAATCAATCGGAATCATCATGTATGAAAAACAAATGCAAAAGCAGAGATCGAATTCGAGATAATTGGCAATAAAATGCAGTTATATGCAAATAAAGGCTGGAAATATCGCGATGCGCGGGGCAAAAATAAATTGTCCGAAAACTGAAATATAGAACGGGTGAAATCGAAGGAAAATCATCAATGCGACGTTGTTAATGAAACACGTTGTGAATTTTGTAGTTCCAATTTTATTCGTTCGCGATTACGTCAATTGACGTGAAATAATAGTCGCTTTCTTTGTATCTTCTAATATAAATATTATTAATATTAGATTTATATCTTGATAATCTTTTACGTTCAAACCAATTTAGCAAACAAAACATTTATTAATTACTGTTATTAGAACCAAAAAAAGTATATATTAGTTTAACTTGTATGTAAAACATTAGTAATATTTCGATAAAACATGCATATGCAAAATTAATATAGATATTAGAGAGTTTATATACAGTTCTCTATCAAAGTATCCGGTTAATTTGCTTGTGTAAACAGATTAATAACCTCGACAAATTGATCAATTTAATACACGATCGTTGAAATCAAATGCTAACGATTCTATCGCGATTTTCTTCGCACAAATAAGCCGACATTTCCCAGACGTAACGGTGATAAATCCATTTTTATGATGGAACTAACCGAATAACAAAAAGTTTTCAGCTTGCAGCATATACGGGCACAAGAGAGAGATTTTTATCATGACGTGTCACTTGGGAAAAACGCGATATAAATTCACTCGGCGTATTTTAGTAACGGACAATAAAAAGGCCTGTTCAGATAAGGCTATCGTAAAAATCGATGAAAGAAATAATAAATTGGATTATACTATGCAAACTTACACAAAAAGCCGTACAAACGAAAGTCGCATTGTATACCTAAGATCTGTAATATGTAAAGTGAAATACTATTAACGAAGAAGCGTAATGTAAATATTGGAATAATTTAACGACGCGGACTGATGTAAGCGCGGATAAATGTTTCGCTAACGAGTAAAGTTAGTGATTCATTAGTCACATTCATCGTCATTGATCGTTCATAAGCTCACGTTATCGTGGTTATCATAAAACGCTGTTCCGCGCTATTTACTTCTACGGTTTAATGGTACTCTCTGATAAACGCAACCATTCGTGTCGCTTGCACAATTATAAATCCACATTATATATACACGGTAATTCATTTTAATCTTAATAGATAAATATATTTTGAAAATATGCAATTTTACCAAAAAGCATTGTATTGTATTGTATTTATTAATCCTTGCCTAATGGCTTAGGATGGTTTCCGGTCTACATAATTTCTTTACAATAAATGTATCTTGTTATATATTTCAAGTGTGTGTGAAGCTGGCGTATCATTTGGTAGAAATTCATAAAATATTGTGAGAGTTCTGAACGTATTTTCAATAGTTCTATAGTTCTAGATGGATAAAACTAATAGTTCTGCTCTCTAAAGTGGA